TCTCTCTCTCTCTCTCTCTCTCTCTCTCTCTCTCTCTCTCTCTCTCTCTCATACACACACTTCAGCCTCTCACCCCCTCCCCTTTACTGAGTTACTACTATTTTCTCCTGGGATTCCTTTTTACAGATGTAACCCTCTTTTCTTCCCAGCCTTTTCTCACTCAGAAATAGAATTCCTCCTGGAGCTTAATGCCTTAACATCTCTCTGCCTTTGACGACGGGTCCCCGTTGTGTGGGATCCTATCCTTTATCTCAGATCCAAGACGTTTCTCATCCATACCTTCTCAATTTTTCTTCTGTGATCTCAGCAATTCCTGGACTCCCCTGTAAACTTACTCCATCTCCTTGATTTCTTCATTCTTTTCTTACGTATTGTCACTCTGCAATTTCCAGTGCAACTTCAGATGTACTGGGGAATTCAGTAGTTCCTTCACAAGTCACTTGCAATAACTGTGTTTTTAAACCTGGACCCATACTATTGAGCTCACACCAGCTTCCGGGGACTCGGGTGTCTTTTTAAGTATGGAGCCTCTCCACGCAGGCCTGTCTGTCTGGCCCTGTTTTCCTGGCCCTGGCCCAGGAACTGAGGATAAATCCCAGGCCTTGGCTCTCTCAATGTTAAGTTTTATGGAAATGAGCCAGGCAGAAACCCGATTTCCATTAGAAATCTTCATGTTTAAAGATGCCTAATTTCTAGGGCTCAGAAGAGAAGGGAGATTTGAGGATTTTCTTTGTTGTTTTTGTTTAACCAGTGCAGAATTCCCTGAGTTTGGGCTCCAGATCTATAGGGAAATAAGGACTATGTAGTCTAGAGGGGTGTGGTATATAGAATTTGGGTCTGGAATTTCTGAGACATCACTTCTCTCTGGTTGGCCAGGTCCTCCCTGACCTGGAAGTGACTATATCTTTAACTTTCTAGTTTAATCATAATATAGAGAAAGGTTGCAGAGCTTTCTCTGTAGACAGAAATTTCCTTTTTCTTCCTCCCTAAGGAAGTGTAGTGAAAAGAGCACACACACGGTTTGGAGTCAGACAAGTCTGTATTAAATCACAGATTAAATTTCCGTCACTTGCCAGCTGTGTCTTTGGGGAAGTGACTTAACCTCACGGAGTTTCAGTTTCCTCAAGGGCTATGATGTGGGTTAAATGAGATATGACACCTGACACATAACGGGGACTTTAAATGATGAGTCTCATCTCAAATTAATTGGTTCAGAGTTCCTTGGAAAGAACATGTCTCATTTTCTCCCACTCTTAAATCCTGACAGTGTAAACCCAAAGATTCCTATGAAAACAGATTTTTAGATCCATTCTGTTGTAGGTGCCCAATGATACATTTACCATCAGTCTCTCTTTGTTCAACATTTTGCATTCCTACCATGGGGCGGTCACTCTGCTAGGTGCTGGGAATACAAATGTGTATGATTCTGGAGTTCATCATGAGGGAATACAGCTGTTTTCCTAGTTTAATTCCTACATCGAACAGGGCTGTGTGATGGAACTGCCATCAGCTATTGTCCTGATGCTTCAGGCCCCTTTGAGATCCAGGGAAGGTCTGCCTCAAGGAGCAGCCGGGAGTGGTCACTCTAAATCTGAATCCTTCCTCTTGGAAACGTACAGGCATTTATTAAAATTGTAGAGGAGTTACCCTTTTGCTTGTCTGTGCTACCTGGAGAGCCTCTGGTTTGGCACCTAAATTGAGGGACCTGTAAAAACTTTTTCATTTCCCCAGAAAAAATGAGGGAACGAGGGGATCGTACTGACAAAGAGCAATCGGTCAGACTTCAGGCTCTGCGGCAATTCTCTCTTCCAACCTCCTTACCTCCCACCACAGTCCTCATTATTTTTGAGTTTCTCATTTCCAGTCTGGGGGGCCAGCCAGTACTTTGGGAGCGTTTGGCAGATAGTTCAGCTTCAGGCAAGCAGAATCTCTGCCGATTTGGCTCCGAAGCCCTTCACCACATGGAATCACTTATTCTGCTTCGATTAATAGGCAAAGCTGCCACTGGCATGGACCCACATACCCTTGTGACTGATGGCATGGTATTTGGGGGCTGGCTCTACTCCCCTGAATATAATTTGCTTTGGTCTTTGCCCAGACTATTCCCTGATCCAGCAGTGCTTTACTGCATCATCTTCAATTCACATCCTTCATCTTCTTCTGCCTGCGCCAAATTCACCTTTTCCAGCCATGGTCTTCGGCTTTACCTCCACTCATGCAGGATCTCAGCATTTATATATATCTTAAAAACCTTCTGTTATTTCACCTGTTTGTCCTATGTCTCCCCTCGCCCCCCCCTCCCCCCGTATCCCTGCCCAAGATACACGCAGCCCAGTATGCTGTAGGATCTTAGTTTGTAGTGCGTGGGATTTGGAATCAGGGAACCTGGCCCCGTCAAAGAGTGGCTGTGTGATCTTGGATAAATTGCTTAATCTCTCTAGGCCTCAGCTGTTCCACTCATTCATCTAACGGATATTTATTGATCACCAGCTGCAGCGGTGGACCAGACGGACATTTAGTCCCTATCTTCATGGAGCTCCCAGTCCACTTTACAGAGCACGTGCGAGGATTAATGGTAAAATAAAGCAGGACAGTACAATAGAAAGAGAGGTGGCTTTGGAGGCAAACAAGCATTGACTCTGAATCCTAGTTCTGCCACTGTGGGTCCTTAGCTTGTTCACTTTTTGTAAAATGGATATTATAATACCTACCTTGGTGGGTTTGTGTGGATTAAATGAGATCATGAATGTAAATCCTGCAGCACACGTACGCAATGAGTCATTGCTATTATTACTATTCTTACGCATTTGGAAATGCTTTGCAGACTGTGCATATGATAGGTATTGTTAACATTACCATCTCCTGTACCCTGTTTTTCCACATGGCATTTAGCCCTCTTCTCCTAATGTTCGACAGCTGGCAATCTCTAAACGGGCATGAATGAGTTTTCCTTGCTAGGTAACTTCTGCATTGCCCTATTCAAACCTGGTTTTGTTTGTTTGCTTGTTTGTCTGTTTGTTTAATGATTGCTCTCCCTGTTTATCACATTATGGTTACATGATTGGAAATTCTGCCCAGCTTTCCGCTAGGTTAAACAAGTGACTCTTGTGTGGTATTTTCTGTTTAGTTGTTCGTTTTCCTCAGAATCACAGACAGGTTCTTTGCCTGTAAGTGACCGTGGAGTTAAATTGATTGGTCTGAATATTGCCAATTTTTGGAATGTTGGTTAGACCCTATATTAGTTTCCTGCGGTTGCTCTAATAAATTATCCCAACTTTGGTGGCTTAAAACAACAGGAATTTCTTCTCTCACAATTCTGGAGATCAGAAGTCCAAAATCAGTATCACTGGGTCCAAATCAGGGTGTCAGCCAGTCTGTGCTCGTCCCAGAGCTGCTTGGGGGTAATCTGTTTCCTGGCCTCCGCCAGCTTCTGGTGGCTGCCAGCATTCCTCGGCTTGTGACTGCATCACTCCAATCTCTGCCTCCATGGTCACACTGCCTTCTCCTCTTCTGGTTTCATCAACTATCCTTCCCTAAGGACATCTGTGATGGCATTTAGAGCCCACTTGGATAATCCCCATTTTAAGATCGTTAACTTAGTTACATCTGCAAAGTCTTTGCCACATAAAGTAGCAGTCACAGGTTCCAAGGATTAGGACATGGACATCTTGGCAGAGTGCATTATTCAGCCTACTGTAGTCCTTTCCCAAAGTCACTGTCACTTTGCAGTCCCTCCCTTCCAAAGAGTCTGTGCACCGAGGTTCTATTCAGGGGTACCTTCTACAAATTGAAGTAGGAAATGTTGATGAAATATTGTTAATCAGCTTCTCTATCTTCAGAATAATATGAATTAAGCCAGGGTAGTTTCTTCTTGCCATACTTCACCACTCGCCTCTCAATTTCATTATCTATTTATCCGTGCTTCTCCACCACAAAATTATTTTTATGATGTAAACTTTTAGCTGTAATTTCCTGTGCTGTTGTAACGTTTTTACTCTGGTAGATATATACTCTGTCCCTCTCATCTCACTTAGACGTTCATCTAATATTTTATCTCCTAAGAGCAAAACTGAAATTATTCTCCTTTTGTTGCTGTTCAGCATCATGGGACAAGTAATTAAATATTCCTCACTGTCTCGGTCTTTCTTGTCCGTTTAGCCCAGCTTCCGTCAGTGACTCCCAAAAACCAATTGTAGCTGCCAGATGTGTCTGTCTCAATCACCACTAACCTCCCACCACACTGTTCTTTAACCGTCCTTATATAAACCATTATATCCATGGTTCCTCACTGAGAATCTTTTTAAAACTATGGATACCACCCTCTCCCCCCACACATATAAATATTCATATGCGCACACACATAATTTTGTTAGTGTTTTAGGGGGCTTTTGAACCCCCATGAAGCTCATCCATGGACTACACGTTGGGCCCTGGATTAAGATTCCCAAATTGAGAAATTGGCATCAGGATATCTACATTCATGCCCCTAACTCTGCCCCAGCTGTGTGACCTCAAGCAAGTCACTTACCCTTCCTTAGCTTGAGTTGGACACTAGACGATCTCTGAAGTCCATTTCAGCTCTAAAAATGGACGCGTCTGTGAGCATTTTCATATGCCGATCACAATTTATTGATTATTTTCCTGAGCTTGTCCCCAGCTTCCCATTTCATATTTATATTTCTGAAATAAAGTTCCCTATTTCCTTTGGCCTTGAGTAATCATTAAAAAAAAAAACAGTCCTGTACTCGGTGCCCAAAGGGATTTAACTGGATATAGAATGGACATATGCTTTTTAGTTGGACCTTCCCCATTATAGCGGTCTCCTCCCTTCCCTCTTTATTTCAATATTCTCCCTGTTGTTTGCATGTCAGGAGAGCTGTCATCCAGTGCATTGTGCTAAACTGTCTCAAAGAGGGAACTGGGGCTGAAAAGATCTCAATGGAAAGAACAAAGATGGCTAAGCTTTCTGGGCAGCAGTGACCTTTGAAGAGCCCCTGCCAAAACCAAGGGTGGGAAAGAGAGTTTCCTTTTCATGCTGTCTTTTAATGGAAGAATGAGCATTCTAAAAAGTCAGTTTAATATAGGGTATTAGAAAAGAGCTTATGCTGCTTTTCAAACCCTGGCTGTTACACGGAGGGCTTGCTTCAGTTGTAGAACAGGTGACATAACAATTATTATCGACCACGAGATTTTTTTAGTACCTCGCTGGCAGGGAGTGTGTGTTATTTATCTTTGCATCCCTAATGTCTAGAATAGAACTATGCACTAATTATGTGCTCAGATTTTTGCTTCAAGTGTGTGTGGCAGCCATGCAAACGTGCTGTTCATATCTCCTGCTGCAGGGAGCATAACTGACTGACAGCCTTTAGCTGCTGTCCCCCTAGGTCCATCACCACATGTGCACTGAGGCCACGCACCCTGCAGGCTGCTCCCAGCCAGTGACGGAGCACAGCAGGGGTTCTAACGCAGGCACATCCTGGTGAGATGTGGGACTCCTTTGGCTTGAGGACTTCCCACTGGCCTGGCCAAACCTTTCTTGGAACTGCACCGCAGTTTCTCCTATCCAGACCTCCTTCTTTCCTTCTCTCCTTCCACAGGTGTCAGACCTCCTGCATGGTCTGAACGCTCTCCCCTCTCCTCCCCCCTTTCTAATAAATCCCTTGTATATCTACCTCATCTTGGTGTCTTCCCCTTGGCAGACCTGAACGAACACAATATGAAAGAATGAAGGAGTCCTTGTTGTAACTGAGAGTTGAGAGTGGTCACGTTGGAAGATAGTGGAGAACGCTTGTGATAACTTATTATTATGAGGCTTTAGTGAAAGCTATTTGAAATGTTTGGAACCTTAGACAATGTGATCCTTTCCAAAGGCAAACTGATCTCTTTCCTCCTTCCACTTAAAACCCTCCAATGGCTTTCCATCGCTCTTAGGATAAAGCAAAAAAACTTTATGTTTAAAATACTCTAACATGGCCTACAAGGTCCGACCTGGTCTGGTCCCTGCTTCCCTTTGCAGCCTCATCTTGCATTATACTGCCCCTCACTCTCTCTTTTTTTTTAATTAAGTTATTTTTTATTATGAAATACACATTTTTTAGAATTAGTTTCAGCTGTACAACACAGTGCAATAGATATACTTTTTACCCCTCGAAGGCCCCTCACTCTGTCTTTTCTAGCCATACTAGTTCCTTTATTCACCATACTGCCTGCTGCCACGGTACCTTTGTACACGCTGTTCCTTCTGCTCAGAGCACTATTCTCTCACCTTCGCCTTGTGAATTCATACTCATAGCTAAGCTTATAAATATCACCTCATCAGGGCAGCTTTATTTGGACCTTCTTAACTAGGTCAGATGCTCCTCTAACATTTCCCACCATCTAGCCCTCCTTTATATAGCACGTATTACACTGGCTACTTTTCATTTGTGTGAGGTTATTTGGTTAATCTCTCTCTCCCTCTTTAGACTGTAAGCTACATAAAGGAAAGGAACAGTATAAGGTTTCACTCACTGTCGTAGCCCAGCATCATCACAGAGCCTAGCACACAGTTGGTACTCAATACATATTTGTGGAATGATTGAGCCCAAGTATCGGGGGATGAGGGGAACTGTTCTGGAATAGTGTCAGGTCTGAAGTTTGATTTTACCCTATATATTATACAACTAATAAGTTAGCCGGTCACTGTTTCATGGATGCTGGCAGAAGTCAAGAGCCTTCTGGGTCAGAGACAAAGGACTTCATTACTCACAGCACAGCATATAGCATGAGCCTCATGTTTGTTTGCATTGGTTCCCCTCGCCCCCCAAGCCTGATGTGGAGTCCTCAGGCAGACGCTTGCACAGGCCATGAGTCCCGTTGCAGGGGAGGAATACTGAGTTTGGGGAACCTGTCGTTTTATAGCAAGCAGTAAGCAAAGCTTGTTCTTTGTCCCAGAGAGATGCGTGACCTCATCTGTCAAGGTTTCTGACTGCAAACACAATCCTGAGAAATGGCCCCAATAAAGAGCAGCCGGGGCCTTGAAATCTTGGCATTTCCAACAAGATGGAAAGGAGACCCGTGCGAGAGTATCTCCCAATATACAGTTTCTCCAAAAATTATTTATGTCTAGGGAAAGCCTCAGAAGAGAAATTCATTGCTCTCTCTTTCCCTTCCCCCCCACCCCACACAGTATGCCCACAGTATTCCAGGGGGGAAATCTGGCCATGGGTTTGCTCACCAGAAGCATAGGCTGGAGAACGGCTAATAGGACCGTATTTCCTTGAGTGGCAGTGTTGTGTAATGGTTAAGAACATTGACTCTGGAACCAAGACTACCTGGGTTTGAATTCTTGCTCTGCTACTGTCTAACTATTATTATATCCTTGGGAAAGTTATTTCACCTCTCTATGCCTTATTCTCTCATCTGTGAAATGGGGATAATAAAAGTACCTGTCTCAAAAGGCCATTGTGATTAAATGCGTAAAACACTTGGAGAAATGCGGGACCTACAGTAAGTGGTCGTAAATGTTAGCACTTAGGATTGTGGTGGTGGTTATTATTCTAGGCCAGCTGACCAATTGTGGGGTAATTGACTTGCACTTCATTAGACAGTGATAATGGTCTGCTGACTTTGGAAACTCTGCCTCCAGTATTTAAGTTATTCACCTTTGGTGTCTAGGACTCATCTAAATGTGAACTAGAAAGGTGGGAGAGGAGGGCAGGGATGCTCTGCTCTTCCTGTGCAAATGGACTTCATTACAGTCTAGGCTTATTAGTTGTTAAATGCTTTTACATGGTGCTAGGTAGGGAGCTAAGGAGGGTAGACTCTTAATGTAGGTACAGGTTACAGACACTGTATTGAAGCACTGCGTCCCTTGGAGGTGTTCTCAATGCTGAGCTTAACTACTTCTCTTTTCGTAGTGAACGTGGTGGAGGCGCTTCAGGAATTCTGGCAGATGAAACAGTCCCGTGGGGCTGACTTGAAGAATGGGGCTCTTGTGGTTTATGAGATGGTTCCTTCCAACAGTCCTCCCTATGTCTGCTATGTTACCCTGCCTGGGGGAAGTTGCTTCGGGAGTTTCCAGGTAAGAGTTGTCAATCGGCAGGAGCAAAGTTGAATACTTAGGTGCCAGTAATGGCTTTTTCCATTGCCTTGGCCATGAAATCTCTGTCTGAAATCACATATGTGAGGACCTGAACCAATTCTGGGCAAATCGTTCTGGTAAGCGTCTGGGGCACACTTGACCACAAAAGAACCTCAGTACATGCTTTTCTTTCAGCCTGCAATACCTCAAACCCACTTTGAATTTGGGCAGTTATGAAAACACCCTTACTTGGTATGTCAGACTACCGGCACCAAACCCATGTTCTGATCTGGCTTTCCAACTTCCTGCCATCTCTTTTTGAGGACATAGAATACTATTCCTTGGCCCCCGTACTTTTTCATAGGCAATTACTAAGGAAAGCCATGTTTAAGTTCCCTAAGGGGATGGACTGTATGGTGGAAATTGTACTCATCTAAGAATTAGACCCAAATTCTCATTTCCCTACCAGCAAAGCAAGTCAGGTAACTTCTCTGGGCCTCAGTTTCCCTACCTATAATATGAAGGAGATGGGTTAGGCTATTTCTAAAGTCTGTCTAGTACTAGCATTCTACAATTATATGAAAGACCTGTAATACATGATGATGAAAAGAGAGATTGCTATTATAGTGTGGTGAGAAATTTGAGTCGTGTGAATATTATCATCAAAGATGGATTCATTACATCTTTGCAGAAAGGAAGGTAGCCTTCGGAAATGTCAACTTAGAGTCTGAGTGGGAATTTAGAGAAGAAAACAGACAAAGGTATAACCCCCGCTATATGCTTCCATAGCACCTTGAACTTCCCCTGTCATATCAACTTATCACAACATATTATAATTATTTGTCTCTCCCAGTGGATGATGCGCCATCCCCTGGGAGGCAAAGAAAGTATCTGTCTTCTTCCTTGTTCAGTTTTAAATCCCAAGCACCAAACTCAGCATCTTGCCCAGAGTGGGCACTTAATAAATGTGTTGCATGAATCTGCCATGGCAGTTCAGTTCCTGCCTCAAACACAGACAGTCCTAAGGAAGCTTCATTTCAAAGCAGGTGACTAAATTTTTTCCTTCAGAACACCAGCTATTTCAGAGAAATAAATAAGTGTCCAAGGATGACTAAAAAATGTGTATGCTTTCTCTTCTGGAGACTAAGATCTTTCCTTCCTTCTCCCGCCTCATTACATTGCTGAAGAAGGATTTTGATTATTTTATGGTGATGCCCAAAGCTGTACCATTATGTAATTTGATTTCTGTTATTTCCTGAAAGAGTAGAATTATCCGTCATGGCCCCTTTTAGATTCTCTCTTTTATATCCACTTCAGCTAGTAAAATTTCCCCCGCTGGTTTTCTTCACAGATACCTTTTCAGAAATAGCACTTACAGTAGAATGGGCAGCAGGCTAGTAAACAGATAAGTAAAAACAGAGAAATTGAAGAAGCAAGAAGACTTAAGGTTAATGTGCCAACTCCATATGCTGTCTCAGAGAGACCTGTCAGCTAAAGGAAATTGGGAATTATTGATACGATGGTTAAGTAGCGAACATATACTGGTCTACGTTTTAAAACTATAATATCACTTTCTTCCTTTCCTCTAATCCTAATCATAAATGACAAAGGGCACAGAGGCCTTTGCGGCAGCCAGTGAAAAAGAATTTTAAAGATATACTATGGTGCCTGGAAAGATGAAGTTGAGAGATTTAAGATTTCTGAAAATCAGACTTGTCCTATGATACCTACTCATATGCTGGACATAATGTAAAAACATGATTAAAAAAATTTTTTTTAAAGATTTTATTGGGGAATTGGGGAAGGGGAACAGCCAAGTTGTTGTCCTTCAGTCTTAGTTGTGGAGGGTGCAGCTAGCTCAGCTCCGAGTCCAGTCGCCATCCGGCCTCCTGTCAGCAGCTCGCAGCCACTCAGCTCAAGGTGCTGTGTTCAATCTTAGTTGCGGATGGGCGTAGCCTACCATCCCATGCGGGAGTCAAACCGGAAACCTTGTTGTTAGGAGCATGTGCACTCACCAGCTGAGCCACCCTGCCACCCATTGGCAGCTCAGCAGCAGCTCAACTCGGGGGCAGCTCACTGGCCCACGTGGGAATCGAACCAGTGACCCTGTTGCTCAGAGTTCGCGCTCTTAACCAGCTGAGCCACTCGGCCTGCCCTAAAAATTTTTTTTCTTGCTTTCCTTGGGTCAGCCTTCCTTCCCCTAGCCACTCCTTGCTTCTAAAAAAAAAGACTACAAATTCCTTCTTCAGACCTTACATTCTGTTTAGGGATAGCTCCTTGGCTCACTACATTATTGGGGGGAACTGCCTGCTCACAGCTAAAAGTGAAGTCCGAGAATCCCAGATGGGTGCTTCTGATAGAGACTTAGGGGTCTCTGCAGAGGTCTCCTTAGGATTCTAACCTTAGGTTATCTAGAGGAATGAGAAAAATCTTGCCTGTCCACAGAACAAGAAAACAAGATACAGATTTCTAACAGGCTGGCCAGAATCTGGCTTTTGAGTAATTAATTCTGTTGACAGTTTAAACAGGGCTATTTTTCATTTCCAGTGATTATATGCTGACTTCAGCAGCCTTCCTCATACTGCATTTGAGCTACAGCCATCTCCAGTTCCTTAATGACTTCAGGATGTTGAATCAAAATTACGTTTCCCAATGCCCCGACCATTTTACAATAAAAACCTAGGAGGGCGAGTTGAACACTTTGAACAAACTGATTTAACCAAAGAATGTCCGAGTGTCTTCTGTCCCAAGTGTTTCCCTCCATTGTTCCTTTTCTCTCTCAGATGCACATACACACATATTTTCTGTCTCTCTACCTTACCTAGTTTTGCCCCACAAAAGCTGAGGCCCGGCGGAGTGCTGCAAAGATTGCACTAATGAACTCTGTGTTTAATGAACATCCTTCCCGAAGAATCACTGATGAGTTCATTGAGAAGAGTGTCTCTGAGGCCCTGGCATCTTTCAATGTAAGTTACTTGGAGTTGGAAAGAAGGAGAGTGGGGTGAGAGAACTGGCTGATTGGGAAGTCTTGTGTATTACTGGGAAAGGGAGATGAATTCTTGTTTTCTTTCCTGTCTACATCTCTGTTCTTTCTGTGTTTTTTTTTCTCTGTCAATCTTTTGTATTATATGCTCCATATGTCTCTTTCTCTAATTCTCTATGTGTGTTTGTTTTTGCTGTTATGTAGTCTCTTGATCTTGAAACCTTTAATCAAAATTTATGGAATTTTAGAGATATTCCAAAATAAAAGTGGGGCTTGAATTTTGCTTTTCCCAATTTTGGTTTAAGACCTTAGTCCTTTCTTCCTTCACAGTTCTTTTCTTTTTTTATATGACTGTTTTTATTGTCTCTTGTCACCTGCCTCCATTACTTCATCTTATTAATAAAGAATACTTTATAACACAGTGTCTTGTCTTTTTTTCCTTTCTAGGAACGGGGAGGATAATTTATTTACTCTCTTTAGAAAGAACATCTGTTCTTTCAGATGATGATTATGATGATGATGATGATGATGATGATGATGATAACCATAGCTAATCCTAACTGAGCATTTACTTTGTGCCAGGGACTGTGCTAGGGATTTATGTGTATTTTATCTCATTTGATCTTCACAACAATCCTATGAGGTATAAGTCCTATTATTACCCCTGTTTCAGGGATGAGGAAACTAAAAACAAAGAAGTGAAGTTTTGCCTAAAGTGACAGAAATAGTAAGTGGTGGAGCCAAGACTGGAACCCAAGGTGATTTATCAGCTTTTCTAGCGGTTGGTGCATCTTAGAAGTTAACACTGCCCTCTTCTGTCTTCCAAGTTCACTGATAGGGTGATAAAGTCAGATTAGTTTTCTGTTTTTATTCTCTTTGAATTTAAGATGTAATTATGTATACTAAACTGCTTGGGTTATCTGTTTTGTGGATTGGTGTTGAATATTTTAAATTAGAAGTTACCTAGGACCCATCTGTTTTTCTCCCATTACTCTTTGCCCCAACGAGCAGTGTCTACAGGGAATAAAAACATTTTTATACTAACCAAAGCCAATTAAAATTAAGAAAGTACATTTGTCACTCTTGTCACCTAATGTATTATAAAATGAAACATTAGTTTGGATTATAGAAAGCAGTGGCTATGAGTATGGGCTCTGAATTCTTGTTTTGGAAATTATTGTTCTACTAACTATGTGACTTTGAACAAGTTACTTCATTTAAGTCTCAGTTTTCTCATCTGTAAAATAGGATAACGATTATCTATCACATAGGATTATTGGATAAAAGAGAACATATTCAAGCATTTAGCACATGTTATCTATTTAGATGCCTTTGGATGCAAGTAATACAAAGTCTCACTTCAAATTGACTTAAGGGAATAAATGAAGGAAGTGAATTTATTATCCAGCATGGACAGGAAGTCCAGAAGTAAGGCAGATTTTAGAGCTGGTTGAATCCTTGGATCAAGAATGTCATTATCTCTCCATCTCTTTCTGTCTCTCACCCATCCATCTTCTAGGTATTGGCTGTGTCCTTGGGCTGGCTCCCCTCACGGTCGGTGCAAGGTGGCTACAGAATTCCAGACATTAAGGAGATATAACTATGTTCAGAGACAGAAAAAGACCATCTTCGCTAGTGTCTCTTTAGTAGGAAAGAATCTTTTCCTAGCAGACCTCCCTCCTACCTCCCAATGGCCAGAATTTCCATCTTAAAACCAATTACCAACTTCCCCGCCCCCCTCACCCCCCGCAAAAAAATAATTACAGGCAAAACGATTTGGATTTACCCACTGGAGTTAGGATAAAATCACGTTTCCCTGAGGCACATGGGAGATGAGTAGACACTAGAACAAGATTAAGGTTCTAGAAAAAGAAGAAAATATTGGGTTGTTGGAAAAGTCATGATGCATTTTTGCAACGGAAAACATAGAAAAAATACATCATGACTTTTCCAACAACCCAATAGATGTAGGGTAGGTCACCAGCAGCGTCTACTCCAAAGTATAGTAAAAGTAAACTGTCATTATTCTCATGCCATCATTCCTCTTAGATTAATCCCCGAAACAGAACTTAATGGGGTTCTCAGGAATATCCCAATAGAATCCCCCTTCTCTAGAATAATAATTTTCATCTGGTCTTAACCAGGGGTAAAGAGTGGTGACCATATTCTTTGCTTTTCACTTTTGTTCTTTAAAAGTCCTGCATCTGACACTATAATACACTATGCCTTTTGACAAATCATCTAACCTCTGTGGGTCTGAGTTTCCTCCTTGGTAAAATAAGTAGGCTGAATGAAATGAACTCTAATTCCTTTCCAATTATATTGTAATATTCTTACCACTTATCGAGTAGTCTGTGATTAAATGCTTATTGAATAAATGGAGTTCATTTATAACTATGTTAGGTGTACAAGAGTCATACGAGGTAGAACTTCCGAACTGGCGGGTCATGCCACTCTGGTGTACTCCAAATGGGTTACAGATGAGCCATGATGTTGATCCCCTCTGCTGGCAGGGGACAGAGCAAGGCCTGGGGCAGATGGACTCCTCTGCCCCACAGCCTCCACTGGCAAGCTGCTCTGCCAGCAGCCTCCTCTCTATACCCCAGCTGGCTGTACAGATATGATTGTTATTTTCTATATGCCGTATCATGGACAGTTTTGGAGGTACTGAATAAGGTATCACATTGGACAATTAAAGGCAAAAATGAAAATGGTTGCTTGCTTCAGAGCCTTAAATCCTAATAGTGAAGATTACCTTTGTCCTTCCTCCCTTTGGCTTTTCACTTCTAAATTCCCCACAAAGATTAACTCACTACATGTGGCATGGCTGTTTCTCATGAGCCACAGAACAATATGGGTTGCTCTTGAGTAGTCCTGACTTCTTGTTGATTCTAGCACAGTGAGAACAAATAATAAGTAATAATAGTAAGTAGTACATTTATGGTGGAATTATTATGTGCCTGGCATTATTTTAGGTGTGATACAAATACAGTAAAACCCTATGATAATGTACTCCACAATACACCAAATTTGGATATAACTTAATTGTTATATTTCTTTCTGTCCCCTTTCTCAAAGATAGCAAATAAAGTTCTTATCTTGGGAGGTGGGGGTGTGTGATGTGGAACTAGCTAGAAAAGCAGGCAACTTCTGAAGGAGTAGGAAGAGGAAGTTGGGTCACTGTGTTCCCGGTAGTCCCCTGGCCTCATTTTCCTTGATCAGGTTGACAAAAGCATCACCAGTAAACCGGGAGATACTCTTCTTTTGGAAGTCCCAGCCAGCCCCAGGATCTGGAATTACCCTCACTAATATTAAAGCACCACCAAATAGCACCAAACCAGAGCCAATACCAGAATGGATTTACATTGTGTAACTGGACACGAGGTCCAGTACAATGATACCCCCACATTTTATATGATTGGTGTTTTTAGACCATATTTATCACTTTTTAAATTAAAAAAAACATTTTTAATATATTTAATTCTCAAAACAATCCTATAAGGTAGATATATGATTACTCCCATGTTACAGATGAGGAACCTGAGGAACAGAAAGGTTAGATGACTTCACCAAGTCCACAAGAGGAGTAGGAGCTCCTGTCCCTGCTCGTAGCTTCTATACAGTATTTTTTTTTTTTGCACATGCTAGGCTTGCAGGTAGGACAATGTATCTTAATTCTACCCCTGCAGAGTCATGTCACCAATAGAAGACACACCAGGCAAATGTCTGGGAGGCCAAACTGCTACCCAGAACTTGCTGTGCTTACGGGTCCTACTGTCTCCCTTTAAAATGCATTTGCCCAATTGTCCTCTAGGCTGGTCCAATGAACTCACTGTGTTATTTTGGCTAAATCAGGGCTCTTTTCCATGTCTCAGTGCTCCCCACTGTAAAATAGGGAAAATCAGATTGGCCTTACTCTATCACCCTAGTTAAAATGTGTGATGACTTTGGTGTCTTCTAGGTCTGCCCTGACTAGTAGAATAGCCACTAGCCACGTATAGCTACTGAGGACTTGAAATGTGGTTAGTAGGAATTGAGCTGTGCTGTAAGCATCAAAGAGACACCATCTTTTGAAAACTTAGTACAAAAAAAAAAAGGAAAATATTTCATTAATATTTTTTTACTAATTACAGTTGAAATAATATGTTGAATATGTTAGGTTAAATAAAATATGCTGTTAAAATACATTAATTACATTTCTGTTGGACAGTGCTGCTTGAAGTGATAATCCTGATTGAAGATCTATCTTTTCCTTTCCTCTGTTACCAGGGCAACAGGGAGGAAGCTGACAACCCAAATACAGGGATTGGTGCCTTCCGATTCATGTTGGAATCCAACAAGGGCAAGTCAATGTTAGAGTTCCAGGTACTATCTCGCCTAGTTCCTCGGCTCTAATAACGTGTCGGCGTGTTTGTGTGTGTGTGTGTGTGTGTGTGTGTGTGTGTGTGTGTGTGTGTCTGTGTGTGTGTCTGTGTCTGTGTGTGCGCGCTCATCCCTTATACTTTGATATTCAATTGGAAAGGAAGGAAGAGAGGCTGTTAGAATATTTTTCAAAATATAAATATCTTCCTTCCCCCAAGGGCATATCAGAGTTGGTATAAGCGAGGCCTCCACAAATACGTTTTGTAAAGGTTACCCGTGTAAACCTGATGCAACCTCCAAATATAAATCACTGTCCTGGCACTTCCTATTTTCTTCCTCCAGGAGTTAATGACAGTTTTTCAACTGCTGCACTGGAATGGCAGCCTTAAGGCCATGAGGGAAAGACAGTGCTCTCGGCAGGTAAGAGATCCTCTGGGTGAGGGGAGTCTGGCAGAAGGACTATTCTGAGCTGGCTGTTGTGTTAGAAATAAGCAGGCCGATGGATACTAGGTCATGAATATGGAAAGTCTGACTTAACGTGCCCTCTTCACTCCTGTTATCTTTCCTATTTAAATCTTAGCTGTGATTTTTTTCTGCCCTTGCTTCCCTCACCAGGAATTTTCCCTTATGAATCTTCTTAGAGGGGCAGCCGGTTAGCTCCGTTGGTTAGAGCGCAGTGCTCATAACACCAAGGTTGCTGGTTCGATCCCCACATGGGCCACTGAGCTGCGCCCTCCACAACTAAACTGAAACAACTACTTGACTTGGAGCTGATGGGTCCCGGAAAAACACACTGTTCCCCAATAAAAAAAAATTTGTTTAAAGGGAAAAATAAACATATATATGTATTTATCTTCTTAGAGGGCTTACATATGCGCTGACTTCAGTTAGGACTCTAAGGCTAAGGGTTCCTAGTCCCAGTTGGGTCAGTGTGGTATGAACTTCACCTTGTCAGTGACCTTCACATTCATCTCCCCCTCCAGGAAGTGTTGGCTCATTATTCACACCGGGCCCTGGATGATGATATTCGCCACCAAATGGCATTGGACTGGGTGAGCCGGGAGCAGAGTGTGCCCGGGGCGCTGTCTAGAGAGCTGGCCTCTACTGAGCGGGAGCTGGATGAAGCCCGGCTGGCAGGCAAGGAGCTGCGCTTCCACAAGGAGAAGAAAGATATTCTCATGCTGGCTGCTGGGCAGTTGGGCAATATGCATTCCTCCAACTGCTAGGCATCCATCCACCCACACACCTCCCATCCTCTCCAGGCCCTTTTTTATATGTCCTTTCTAAGACTTAGTATGATTTCTGTACATACTTTCTCAATTTTATACTTTAAAATATAGAGATTTATATATGTGTATAAATTCTACACCTGGATTCCTATTTGCTAAGAGATCCCTTTTCTGACTTCTAGTTGCTGGGGGTAGTTTCATTTGAAACATTTCCACTCCACTTTACAAGAAGAGTAGGCTCTCTTTGGAGCTTTGTTGGATCTTACACCCCTAGCAACTGTGTACTCATTTCAGTAGCACGAGATGATTGACTAAGTGTTCGTGTCTCCTCCTTTTAAGATACCAGGGAGCTTGAATAAAGGCTTTGTGCCCCCCGCACCATTCCTGCTTTTTCTTAGACTCAAACAGGTTATGAGGAGTCTGAAGCCTTCTGCTTTGGTTTATCTTGAGCTGGGCCTACTCGGACAGAGTTGTTCCTCCAGTAAGGCTATTTCCTGACACCATTACCTTCCTCCCTGCCTCTGACTCCTATTGATCCTTCATTGTGAGGCTTCCTTACTTTATTATTTGGAAGGAAGTGGAGATCTGGTTTCTCATTTTTAAATCATTCCTGAGCAAGTGCCCGGGAACAAGAGGAAGTATAAACACAATCTGTAGGGGTTTATCACCGAAGTTGCTTCTGGGGCATAGATACCATAGCAGTAGTCCAGGGTTCTGGATGTACTCTACTCTACAGAAAGAAGGGGTCAGGGGTGGAGGTGCTTATTTTCAGTATCACGCTTTTCCCTCCTCCTCCCCTGCTCACCCGGCTTAGTGAAGCCCTGTATTTAGACCTTCCTGCCTGCAGAGATTGGTAGAAGGTGAAACCTATTTCCCTCTTCTCTCTCCTCCCATCATTTTGCTCTTTGGAAAAATTATCTGTCCTGTTTGGAGAGGGCCATGTTCCTCTCCCTGCCACGAAGTTGCGGTTGTCTACTACCTTAGATGTACATACCTTGGATTCACATGCGTTTTCTCTCCTCTTCTTCCACACTCTTAGAGCATGACTAGATCAGGAAAATCAGATAAGACTTTGGCATTTTG